GTGAATGATATTGTCCTCACTGAAACTCGCAGCCAATACCCATTGCTTCCAACTCCAAAGCGCAAAACAGCTAGTGTATATCGTTCAGTCCTGTAGTAGGTTAGTCACCAATGAGTCTTTAGAGGATAGCATTGATTGAGGTTTATCGACAAACCATTACAAAGTGGACAGGAAACACAGTAGCACGATACCGTAGTCCACTGTATTTCAGTGTTAGCTGGTGACCATCAATCGGAAGGAAGCTTTACTTAACTTGGGTTTCGTGGTTGTTGGCGCTCATCAGCAAAATGAGTGTGTAACTATGAGGAAGCTGGTGTTCCCTCAATGATTTGACACCTCGTCGCTTAATGCTGAAATCAGAAAATTAACCACAAGGCTATCCAGGCCACCAGCTTCTTTGAAGCATCAGATGCTTCTTGGTCAGCCAGAAATTCATGGCAATCTGCTTCAACCATTCAACATAGATTTTCTTGACGTGTGATTTGATGACCTGAGAAAGAAGTTAGGCATTGGTTAAATGATATCTATCATTGTGATATTTTTATTTGTCCGTGGATGACAAATGAACATGTTTTGTTTACCATACATCCGACAGTGCGGTCGACTGACTTCGATTAGTACTTAAAATTCAAGTAAACAACTATATTTTCTTCACAACTAGTGTTTATATCAGCGTGTTTTGTCAAGTAGTGTCAGTGAGATACAGATCACCACCTATCGACTGTCCAATGAGCTGAAAAATAGTCGAAGGAAGACACATGGTACAAATGATGGTCACCGATGCTGATTATCACATATAGAGATATCAACGAAGTATTGACAGCCGAAAGAAAAAAGCTTGAGGTAATACTCACAACAGGATACTCGACTGTTAGTTAACCACAGCGAACGAAAAGTCAAATCAGACAACACAAATAACCTTCGAGAGAAGCTAGTCAAAAGTTCATAATGGCATACCTTGGAAGAAGAAGTAGCAAACGACTGTGTAGACATGGTTAAACCGTTCACCTAAGAGAACACATCATCATCAAAAGTTAAAATTCAAATTTTAGCTTAGACAGACTATCCACCTGTCCTGTAGGAGATCAGTTCAGTTGTAATTTCTGAAAGATTTAATTTAGGGGTTTGTGGGGATTTCTAGTAATTCAACTTGATATTCACCATGGACTGACGTCAGTTAGAGGAACATTGGAAATCTGGGAGTACTGGGTAGCTGTTTTGTCCTGGTGTGGGATTCGTCAGCAGTGCGCACCCATGACCACGCCAGGGTTCGAACCCAGAACCTTCGGGTTCCTGATTGGTTTTAAGTAATTTCTGTTGTTAATGCTCTTACGACAAAATATATTTAATTTTCCTAACATATTTCACGTTAAATAATAGTAATTTAAGCATTTTAGAGACATAGTCACTGTTTATGTCGATCATAGGCGACTAACTTTGGTATTTACCAGAATCATTGAATATACTTACAAGTGAATTCTTCTTGGGTAGAAGGTATGACAACAGAAACTTATATCACATTACAGCACTCTTGGCAGATAAGAAATGCCATTAGTAGATTTGTGTAATTTTCTAGGTAGTGGGTAGCCTAGGAATCCGGGTTACGTGTTTTGTCCCACTTGGAGTTCTTCATCCAAATATACTTGGGTCTTATTGAGTGATGGTGTTTCCATGGGAGCTCAAATCTAGCGGTCATCGCTTCAAATACCAGATAGTTATCTAATAGACAACTGAGGCACAACAGCCACCTCTTATGTAACGCGTTTCATTTGATTTATCTTGATGTTTATGACTTCGTTTCGACTGTTGGATGAAATATTTTCTTACATAACAGAAGACTGTTTCTTGACAAACTTACAGAGAGTGGAAATCATGTCTTTTCAAACACTGGTTGCTCCCATTCTAGTGCAACACTTATCTTTACTCTATAGATTATGCTGGCTGCAGTTGAAACAAAAACCTCAGTTACGGTAGGTAGGATTCGAAGCTGTAGTCTTCAGGTTACTAATTTCGTGCTCTGCTGACTACGCTACATCAGCTGACCGAGCGTAACTCTTCTGTCTATTGTAAAGCGTTTTGTAAATGCATTTTAGTGAGGTATTAGGAGGAGAAGATGTATATCTATCTCCATTAAATGATCTAGAATTTATCATGTAATCGATCAAATGATCTGAAACGATATTTTTCCCAAGTAGCCCATAGTTTTATTTCAGCAAAAATGTCCAGTGTGTTCATTGTATTACAAAGACAATATGCACTGACAAAACCGCAGAGTATAAAGAGGTTTATGGGGTATTTCATTCCACAGATAAGCTAAATGATCAGCCACAAGATCGTAAGTAGCCGATAAAGAATGAAATCCACCCAACAACCATGTGCACATATATGCAGTAAGCAGTGTTCCAGCTAATGATATTACCTGGCTGTATCAACCTCAGTAGATGCAGTAGTGACCAATTGGATGTGAACTATCACAGAGTAAATACTAATCAATATGATACTCTGTTTCACACCCAACTTGATACCGTTAACTGTGTAGAATGGATTAAACGTTGATCGAATATTCAGAGAGTACATTTTCTTACTGTGCTTTAAACAATAAGTGTATAAATGGGAAACGTCTAGAAGTACTGTCTTATTCCGGAATAGAGCTCTTGAAGAAATGCTCCTTCTTGACTCCTGATAAAATCGAACCAAACAACCTTTGAGTTGCAGACCTAATATCTTGTCTGTTTGGTTGGAAATCAATTCACTGGGTAACTTTACTTCTTGGAAATCTCATATGCTGTGAAGCTAATATTCCTGTGAATTGGTTAGTGACTCTATGTTATCTAAAGTCAAGTCTTACTGATGAGTCATTAACAGGGACGAAAAACCAACTAACTTAGTATTCCTTTTGATTCATCTGCGATAAGATTTACTGTAAAACTAAATAAGCTCATGTAATCACCATATAAAGCCTCGTTTGGTCTTTATTCTGTGAATAATCATAACATACAAAACAATAGTCGATGTATTTACAACAGATCATGGCTAGAAGTGAAATTCAGGACGCTCGTTTCATCCTATCTGAGCCTTGTAAACTGGATGAACCTACCATCTACAGCCAAGATAACAATACTAATCACAATCCATTGTTAATCTGAAGAAATCGAGGGTTGAAATCTCTCAAGTGATGGGGCATAATCCTGAGTTAAGTTTCACACTACTGTAAAGTGTGTATACATGTACATAAAACACTACCTTGACGTTTGAAGACAATATTCAGTCTTAGATTTCCATTCAACACATGAAAAAACAGATACTATTGAAATCTAACTTAGTGTACCTGCTATGTGAACTGTACATAATACTCTTCAAGAAGTCATAAACTCTTCATTATGGAAACAAGACCAGTGGATTTACCACCCTGGTAGACATAATTATCAGTGAAACTTCAAATCAAACGTGGAATAAGTTTGGTATTCTTCATGTTTATTGTTTATTAGCTTTTCGCTTAAATAAAAGCAGCAATCATTGAGCTCTATATGTCTGTTGTACTAACATGACGAAAACTTTATTCCATATTGTTATTCATAGAAGTATTTTGTTCAGGCTGAGTTAGGTTGGGTGGTTGATGAGAGTCAAGAGGAATTTCGCTAATTAAGCTTTATGTTCATCAGTAAAGTGTATGTTAAGATGGTGGTAAGTACGATTTCCTCTTCAGGGTCATTTATCATTCTGTCCGAAGTTAGTAGATGGCCTCAGCCTTTCAAAAATACTAACTCAGATCATACGGTAACAAATTCATTGAATACCTCATCTCCATCAATTAGTAAAGTAACTGATGTTTTCGTCCATAAAGAAAAACACTTCATAACATTAAAAATTCTTATCATTCAACTGACAAGTGAAAATTCACCCTAAGTTTATCGATTTACCCCACCTAGACAGTATGATAAGTCATATATTGACGGTTTCTTGAATGTTCCCTGTTCTGGTTGCTACATCACCTACTGGTATCAGAGTTGATAATGTTGAATATCTTAGGTTTTTCAACATCCACCCCTTCCCTACCCTCGTGAATACCTTGGTCCTCACATATATATGTCTCACAAACTCGAAGATCTACAGGAAAAAACTAACAAGTTGACAGAAGAGGCGGGACAGCGAAAACTGGAATTCAAGTGGATGTAGAGAAGATGGAGGTGATGAAGATATCCAACCAACAACAACAAGCATCAACCACCATGAACGGGAGAAACCTAAAGGAAGTTGTCTCTCTCACCTACACCTACCTAAGCAGGCAGCATCGTTTCAACTACAGGTGGCACAGGCACAGATGATGATGTCAAAGCGAGGATTGTAAAGACAGCGAGACAGGCCTTCATTAATGTCAAGCCAGTGTGGAGATCTACTGCACTGCACTCAACATAAAGAACAAGATCCGAATTTTCAACACTAATATCAGTCGAGTCAGTGCTTCTATGTGATGGTTGAGAGACATGATGCGTTACGAAAATCATTTCCAACAAACTACAGATATACATGAACAGCTACCATCTACGCTGACTTACTCGATACTGAAGATGGAGATCAGATGACCAGAAAGAATAAGCGAAAAGGAACTATAGCCGACTGCCAACGAACCAACCAAGAACTCATCGCCCAACAAATATGCAGAAGATGAAAATGGAGGTGAATTGGATTGGATTGGACACAGACTGAGAAGATGATTTGGGGATATCATGCGTCAGGCCAGACCAGGTCGTCGAGTGGAACCGAAATGGGAAACGACGAGTTGGATGTCCCAGGTGAGGGTGACATGGAGGAGATTGTGTGAGGAAGAAGTGAAAGGTTGTGGGCAGTGGTGGAGCCAGGTTGGAAAGGATGGAGAGAGGAGAGTGAAATGGTTACATGCTACTGAAGTGCTATGTTCCACTAGGAACCCAAGGAAGATATTATATATATATATATATATATATATATATATATATATATATATATATATTTGAGATAAATTATAGAATGAATGGTAACCAACCTTGTGAATTGACCGCTTGTTCTTGCTTTATTGACAGTGGTGTCATATCCATTTGTTCTTTTCTGTCCATAGTATTGTTTGTATTCAGTAGGTCAGATATGAGAAATGATTTCTGACCTTCATTTTCTTGTTCAATTTCATCAGAATTCAATGTTTTATTCAATAGATTACTATGTAAATTACAAACATTTGAATTATTCACTATTGATGATGATGACGATGATGATAGTGACGGAGATTGTTGACTATGGAGGAAGTGTATTTCTTTCATTGTTGTTGTCGTTGTATTCGGATTGTATGAAAACAATTTAGGCGTGAAATTAAAATGTGTTAAATGTTCCAATGTTGCGTTACACTGATGGTTATGATGATCCTGATGACTATGATTACTATCACTGTTCTCATCATCATTAATACTCACAGTATTGTCAGAACCAATCAAGTTGGAAATATAACATATATCCGTTTGTTTAGTTAACTCCAGTTTTGTTCCACTTGTCGCTGTGGTCATTGTTACTCGACAATAACAATCTTCTGTTTAGATTATTAAAAAAAAGTGAGATTTCAGTTATTTCGTTGATCGGGAGAAGTGAGAAAGCGCTTATATACGTGTTGGTGGTGGGTAGGGTGGGGTAGTGAATTTGTTATCTGATTAGTGAGCTGATTTTTTCCAATGTTGTTGTTTCCACTTTCCTCTCCCTTCATCTATTCTATAATCATCATCACAATGATGATTATTATTCACGTTTGTTTAGTCTCCTCATTTGTTAAGGCAATTACTGTCATTCCATATTTAGTGAGTGAATGTGTGTGTGAGAGAGAGAGAGGGTGGGTGTCTTTATGATATGTTTTTTTAAGTACTTCCCATTTTCATCCATTTGTACCCTATGTCTGATCTAAGTGGATTTTCATCCTTGGGAAAATGCCGCCTACTTGTTCCTTGCTTTCAGCCAATCATAAGTGTCTCAGAAATACTTTTCCTTTAAATATTTAATTATCACTCCTTTCTGTGTCTATTCTGATTCTTTTTTCTGATACATATGTGTTCTGCGTGTGTGTATGTGTATGTGCAAGTAAACAGATAGAAATATAAGCAAACAAAGAAACTGCAATGTACAGGTGTAGTGATGACTGACGCACAAAATTTGTTTGATGGTCTGTCACCACTTACTACTTAATGTTTTTACTATGTTGTTGTTTACGATAATATCCATCACAGATAACCACTCAAAACCCGGGGGCACTAGTCAGCCGTTTCGTCTTAGTATGGGACTCTTCAGGATTACGCACCCACTATCCTTCTAAGGATCTAAATGACAGAAGTAGAGGTGCTGGGTTTGATCACTAACCGCATTGTGGGCACGTACTGATGAAAAGTCCCGAACGCGGACGAGACAACTGCCCGTTGCCCCTAAGTTCCCAATGGTTCTCCAACGAATGACAAATTGAAGACAGCTTAAATAAGTTGTTCTTCAAACGTGTCCGATATTAACCGTAAGTAACCTAAGAACAGCCAGCTACCGGAAATCCTTGACACTGGCAACAATGTCTGGCGTTAACCTTGTCGGAACCGAGTCCAGCAACTCACAGTGATTCTGCTGATGTTAATAGACACGATTATTATGATGACTGTTAAAAGTTAAAATAGTCTATAGGATGCAACCAAGGCTATAATTCACTTAGTGGTGGTTAATAGTGGAATATAGTACATACGTTTCGTCCTAGTTAGAACTCATCAGCTAGGTTTATTTGCATCTCAGTGAGATATAGTGTTCCCATCGAGGATAAAATCTAGCCATAAGCATTCCAAATATCACACTACTATCTACTAAACTATTGAGTTGAGAAAGTCACCTCTTGTTCAACAACCAGAGTCAGTTGAAGAACTGTCTTACATCAAAGAATTCTTCATAGCTAATATATTTTCTGGAATGATTCAATTTATTCAAAATATGTTTTCTACAGTTGGGTATCTAGCCCATGGCTGACTGGTAACATGCCTGCTGCAAAATGTGAAGTTTCTGGGTACATACTACAAAGAAGTCCCATACAACGACGAAGCGGTTGTCTGCTGTTTCCAGGTTTTCAGTGGCACTCCAACTGACATCATTTTGAGAAGGATACCACCTTTAAATGTGAAGTCTTTTATTTAATCAGATTTACCATCTTCTGTAGTGTTGGTGGTAAACAGATTGTTAAGTGCCCATTTGTTTCTAGTTTTCTACTGTACAAAACTATCGCCCAGTCACTCTTTACTAATTGAACCTCATTAAATGATGTACCAAAGCTTCAAGCAGGTCAGATTGAGAAGGTGCTTCGGACATAACCTTTAGTTATATCTTCAATTCTCAAGAAGAGCGATCAGTAATGCCAATAGATACTTCATCAACTTCAGTGTTGTTGAGTAGTAAATAATACGATGTCTTGTGTACCCTGCTGATTGAATCATACTCAATGTTGTCTCATGATTCAAGGTACACTTCTCTAATGGTGCCTCGATGAACAACTCCCTCGGTTACTATATGCTAAAACCAGATTAAAAGTCAAGAAATCAACTCATTTCGAGAATAATTTACACCTATTGAATACAACAGATTTCAGTCCATCAATTCGGTTCTCTCAGATCATCAGCCAGCTGAATGTCGATCACTTTCAAATATTGACTGTCTTAATCAATAACCTGATGGATAACTCCATGATGTTTGCTGCAATGAGTTCTGAGTTCGAGTCCCGATGGGAATGCCATCACTCACTAGGATGTAGGCATATCCAACTGATGAGTTCAAATTGGACGAAATACACATCCTAGATTCTTCTGCTAACCACTATTCATCGATAATAACAAGGTGCAGTACTATCATATGAGATCAAATTAGTTGACTCGATATAACGCACATGCATATCATCTGATTTTGAACAATGAATTATGTTGAAATGAGCATCTGGTAAACAAGGCTGTACTACTGTGTGGTATATGAAGTAGACTAATCTGATATGTTGAAGTAGCATTCATCATGGATTGACATCAGTTGGGGAAGCATTTGGAACCTCGGAGTACCTGAAAATTAAAATCCCCATTCATCTTAAAAGTATAATACTGTGTAATGTTCATTAGTGATATGTTTCCAGATGGATATCATGAAGTTCTAGTGAGAAGCGGTGACCTATGGGGTAAGACAGTTGGAAGAGAATTGGATACCATCTATAGACGTTGGGTAACAGTTGTGGTATATTGTGAATTGGCAGGAGTTGGGAACTGTGGACCATTGAACTCCATGAAACCTGAAGTTCCTGAGTTTGATCATTGTCACGGCGGGGTCGTGGATGGGTACTGCTGAGAGCCATACTAAGACGAAATGGCTATAGAGTGCTCCGAAGTCAATTGATGTCAGTCCGTACGTAAAAATTGAAATCCCTATTCATCTCAAAGATACATATGTTTTATGGGGGTGGGGGTGGAGGGGTTTGAAGGGATTTACTTATCTTCATCTAGATTTTATTTTAATGCTTATTTTTGACTTATTTTGAGATGAATTCTCCGGAATATCATGATCTCTGAGGTGAATCAGGTCGAGTGAAGATAAATTCTAGTAGATGGTATTAGATGATAGTCACACTACATCATGAATTGACGGTTGTAGGACATTTTAGACCGAGTCAGTGGCAGGTTTGGAGTAACTCACTGCTAAGGTGTCTTAATTCCATAAGATTTAGAGCTCAAACCCATCTAGAACATTCATGGTAACTTTGATCTGCATACTTATAATACCAACTGTTCTTCAAGTTCATTCCGCTTTTGCATGTCATTTTGTTCATTTCATCTTTTTCAAGTAGGGTAGTTAGTTCATTACACATTGAATATTCCTCTATCAACTTAAACAAGTTGTTCTAACTGGATATAAATAACAAGGTGTGCACAGTAAACAAACTAGATATATTGAACATTGAAAATTAACACAACCCATTGAACACATAAAATGACAATTGATACTTTAAATCCTAAATGTACTCTTCAACTCATTTGGAAAGCAAGGCAAGATTATAGAGAGTAAGAAAGAATTTGAAAAAGGATGAAAAGCACAAAAACGAAAGTAAACAGTGATTATTACTTATTTTAAAAAAAATTTGTTTGTTTTATTCAAATGAATTGCACATTATAATCATTTAATAGTATTTTGATTTATATTGAAAATAGAATAATCAACCAGATGTTTACATTTGTCCCGGCCCAGAACAGCTGTTAAATTGTAAGAAAGCCACAAAAGAAGAGGAAAAAAGAGAGAGGGAGAGAGAGAGAGAAGGAGGGATGGAGGGAAGGGTAACAATAACCAGGTTCTTTTTATCTACTCTTGATAATGGGACAATTTAACTCTTCATTATATTACAGAGAGATGACTAGAAATGCTTTGTGTAAAATATGCCATTGAAGAGTGTAAATCAGTAGTTGGTGGGAAAAAAAAGTAAACGACAGGATGATAAGTGAGGCGAGGGCGGGGGGTGGCAAGGAAAAAGCGGCCAAATCTAAATCACACTGAACTATAGAAGAATCGCACTGCTTCCCTTTTCTGTCCTCAAAAACAAACATACCAATTATAATGCTAAATCACTGAATTTACAACGGACTTTAGTGCTAATTAGTGTTGCGTAAATTATATTTTGAAAGCCTAGACTGTGGACACTTCTTTATTCTTTGTTGTTTTTTTCTGTATGTGCATCAAAATGGGTGAAGTGAATCAAAGAAACAAAAGAGAGAAGCGACAAGATAAATGATGTGAGAAGGGTAATATAATGCTGGGTGATGACGACTGGAACAGGCTGGCTGGTTTCAGAAAGAACAAATTATGTGCGGATCAAATTGCAACGCTGCACTACGCATCATCATAGAACAGAGTATGGGATGGCGATCGACTCTCTCTCTACCTCAACTTCATCGACTTTGAAAAGGCCTTCAACATCGTCGACCGAGAAGTAATTTGGCAGTTTCTTCAACACAACGGAGTGCCACTGGTTTTTATCAACCTCATTCAACAGCTACATGATGAACACGCCACATGCCAAGTGATTCTTAATGGAAAGCTCAGTGATGTCTTTGAAGTGAAGACAGGAGACAGGAGAAAAAACAAAGCTGTCTACTACCAACGATCATCTTCCTGATTGTGGTCAACTGGACTGGGCTGGATCAATCGACCGGTGAAAAGACCATAGAAGATTTGGATTTCGCCAACGATGATGATTTATGGTAATTATGGGCAGTGGCTAGCAGTGGAATCC